ATATATATATATATATATATATATATATATATATATATATATATATATATACATATATATATATATGGATTTTACGTGCCTATATATATATATATATAAGCGTTGAATCTTGCTTGACGTCACGCAATGCTGTAATCTCAGCTGCCATATATAGAAAAAAAATAGCCTCGACGTCTCCCCGCCCTTTCCTCTCCTTCTCAGCCCTCGTTTTACGGGAGCACCGTTGAATGATTCCAATATCCGAGATCCCTCCAACCTTGGCTCGCCTCCTCTCCTCCCCAGGAAGGAAGCCCATCTCACCTCCCTTGTGCCGATCGCCTTCTTCCTCCGCCATCTTCCACCGATCATCTCCTGCAACCAAACCCGTAGCATCCGAAGGGAGGAGGACGACGACGAACGCTGCCTTGAGAACGAGGAGCGATGCACGTGTGATCAGAGTGCACTCACGGCAGCCTTCGCCTAGCACCGATGATGCCGCCCGACGATGGAAGAGCCCGTAACGCCTGCATATGGTTCGTCTCCTGTTTCTTCTTCCTCATCCTTATCGTCGGGGGGTCGCTCCTCGTGATCTACATCGTCCTGCCGGAATCACAAGACACGTTCTGGTTCCCCATCGCCGGCTTCGTCCTCGTCGGCATCCCTTGGCTCTTCTGGATCACCACCTGCATCTACCGATCCGTCATGGCTCCCAAGTCCGACATCGAGAGACCGCCCGTGAGGGCTGCCGCCGTCGCCCCGGCCGCTGCTAGTGCGGCCGCAGCCAGTGATTCGCCTGTCAATTCTCCCAGCGGCGGAGGCGGCGGCGCCGATGCTACGCCAGGCGCGGCGCCAAGGGGACGAGACGTAGATGGCGACGCGCGCGATGACTCCTCTCTCAATTCCCACGAGAGCGAGGAGCCGCTGGCTTCCTCCATGTCTTGAGCTCGATGGAGGTGGCCGCGCCGCTGCACCAGTTTTGCGAGCAAGAAGTTAGTCCCTTAGCACATGTATCTGTTGTTGCCTGATGCGGTGAAATCTCCATGAGACGAGGTAACGATACACTGCAGAATGCTGGTAGATCACCATGAGCTCTTCTTTGCTCATCGAACACCCGAAGAGGTGTTGCCTACATCTGAACTGGTAGCTGAGACTTGCATTTTTGCCATCTTTCCTAAAACAGCAGCTACCTTGAAGAACGCCATCAATGGCAGATACCTGAGACTCCACGAGGAGTGCATTGTCATACAGAGAACTCGGCCATAATTAATCGAGGACTTATTACCGATCGGCATGATCTTCTTCGTTACAAGTTTAAAGAACACACCTTCTTTGTAGTGGAAAGGGGAGACTTAATCGGCATGTTTGTTGGCTTCCTTGTTTACTGGCAAATGAGTACATTTAACTGCTAATAGCTCCTCTATGGTAGGAAAAATAATGATAATTATATACAATTTATAAGGGATATAGATTACATGAGGTGTTAGTGTTACATATCGTCGTCAACTTCACGTGAAAACATTGATTTGATCACCGAGGCACAATTGTTCTTTTCCTACTTATGATGTCAAATTATCATCATCATTGCACGCCTCTCAATCTCGATTTGATTCGATTCGATTCGATTAGATTCGACTCGACTTGATTTGACTCGACCGTACCCATTAGGTCAGATTGGTTCAAACCAAATGTGTCACGATTTGGACCGGCCGCCACCACCCGAGTTGACCATGGAAAAGCCATGTCGCCGGGCCCAAACTCTCCCACCACCTCCCCTTTTATAGATACTCTCGTCCATAAAGCAAGCCATCGACAGCAACAGCTGTGGCGGAGAGGCGCTCACGAGGGTGCCACCGGACCTGCAACTTTCGCTCCGGTCCTCCTTCCTCTCCCATCCATCAATTCTCCTCCTATCAAAGGGACATCAAATCTATTCTCATAGCTTCTCCTCTGTTCCAATCCAACCATGTAAGACTTTTGGTAGGCATCGCGTCTCTCAGTCTTCTTCTCTTCCTCCACTTCATTTACCAACCCACATTTTTTGTGCACTACTCTACTCATTATTCATCTATATTTTGCTTCTTTCATTTATATATATCTATATTGTTTTTTACTTGTGATATTGTGTGGTACATTGTATCAGTCTATATAGGCATATACATTTGATGTCATTTCCACAACAATTCCAAGATAGATTATTAATAGATTTCATATATTGAATTTAAAACTAGTAATTAAATTGAAACAGATAAGCCATTGTTGTCTCAATTCGTATGTTCCTCAAGTGAAGAACTACTACCAACAACAGTATTAACAGCAACACCTGCACAAGAGTGGGCAGCTTCTGATGCCCTAATCACTATTGCATCTCTTCTTCTTTTTCTTCTTCTTCTTCTAGATTTGATGTGGTCAGTTTCAGTAACTGGTCTTGAAGGGCCGGTAGACCTTGAGGTCGGTGACGATTCCGGCGACGGATCCGATGACAGCTGCTACGGTGATCACGAGACAAGCTGAGCTTAGCATCTGCAGGCACACCCACCTCGTGCTCCACCTGGGGATCCTTTTCTGGACGATGTACATCTCCACCGGGAAGTAGACTGTTAATGGCCAGAAGCCGAGCGCGCCGAGCAGGCCGACCACGTCGTTGAAAAAGGGTAGCAGCATGGATATGACGGTGGTCAGCACCACGAAGGCGGAGCGCCACACCAGGCGGAAGAGGCTGAGTTTGTAGCGCTTGGTCGGGGTGAGGGGTACGGCGATCTCCTTGGAGATGAAGGTGGCGTCCGGCCACGTCTTGAGGGCCCACTTCTCGATGAAGGCGAAGAGCGGCTGGGAGAAGACCTGGTAGGCGCCGACGAGGTGGACGACGATGGCGGCGTTGGCGATGTCGAGGAGCCAGTAGGGGTTGTAGAAGCCGAAGCCGGTGAGGAGGTTGCCGGGCGCTTTGTCCCCGAACGCGGCGTAGCCCATGCAGCCGCAGAGCATGTAGAAAAGGGTAGTGACGATGATGCTCAGCAGCGAAGCCTTCTTCATCACCTTCGCCTCGGACGGCGGTGGGGATTTGATAGTGTCCTGAAGGAACAGCCACGGCGTTTGCCATGCTTCAGTACCGAATCAATCTAACAAACACCTCAAGCTTGTCAGATGGCGGCCATCTTTACCTGGATCTCTATGAGGACGAGGGAGAAGGAGTAGGCGAAGGCAATGTCGCCGAAAGCTTGGAGGCTGCGCCAAATCTTTTGTGTTGGGGAGATGACGCCAATGCTGATTCCTGTGAGGCTGCCTTTGAAACCTTTGTTGTCTGTTCGGCAACCGTAGAAAAGCATAGCAGAGAAGGAAAGATCAGAACGCAGTGCGCAAAAGATAGACGAGACCAGAGTTGGTCATAGAAGCACACATACCGATCGCTTGGACGATGCCGAGGGCGAGGCCAATGGACGAGTACGTGAAGGACATGACCGCGGCGACGATGGAGAGCCACCATATCTGATCGAAGTCGGGGATCTGCGACAAGAAGATCTCCACGACACCGAACATGATCATGTAAGGATTGCTGGAGGTATGGCATGGGTTCTTGTGCCCCTTCTCGTGGAAGCAATTAGACCTCCTGATCGCCCTGTTTCACGGAACGAAACCCAAACCATCACTTGGAATGATGACAAACCAAAGGTTTCCTACCAAAAGAAGAACAGAGTTCGTCTCCTTCTGCGCTCCACTCACATCATGCTGATGGAAGCAGCGATGGTGTAGCCAACAGCGACGCCGAAGAGGTTGGCGTACTGGATGCATCCGCAGAGCTTGACCTTTAGCCCACCTGTTGTTGAAGACGGGAGGAGAAGGTCAAGGTTTAGTCCACCCCTGGCGTAAAAATGTCACCTTGGCGTGAAGAGGTGGCCGTACTCACCGAGGTAGGCATGGACCGCGTCCATGTAGTTGTAGTTGCGCTTCCCGGTGTCCGGGTCGCCGGAGCGGTAGCAGTCGGCAAGGAGAGTCGAGGTGTAGTACGTGACGAAGGAGAAAAGGAGCATGACCACGGGGCCGGCGACCCAGCCGAGCTGCGCGATGGCCCAGGCCAGCGACAGCACGCCGGACCCGATCACCGCCGTGACGATGTGCGCGCTCGCCGTCCAAAAGGTTCCTGCAACCAAAATCCCAACCTCCCTTCTTTAAGACGAAGAAAACACGAATCTGGAGCGAACAAGAACAAGGTTTGATCTTTACCACTCCTCTTAAGCCGTCCATCGTCGTCGTAGCACTTGCCGAGTCCCTGGAGCTGATTCCCATGGCTGAGCTCAACCGAGACCTCCATGGGAGTAAAAGTTGGTCGTTGGTTGTACTTAGCGGCGCCGTTCTCGCCCATCTTACGCCCAAAAACAGAGAGAACAGAGCAAAGATGAGATCTTTTTGCTTCACCACGCAAAGAGCAGCAGAAAGAGAGAAAGAAACAGAATCTGCAGCACACAGTGAGCTCTTCGACTCCACAAAAAAAGGACAACTCTAAGCTACGAAGAACTCGGTGACGAAGGCAGAGCGTCGTTGAGCTTTATATAGCGGTGGGGCGAAGCGAGAGAGCTAAAAGCGAAGGCAGTACAGGACACTGTGCCGAATGCACGGCCTGACGCAGAGGTCAACGGTGCCGCCGCCCTGGAACAACCCACTACCGCTCTCCTCTGTTTCAGAACGCCGTCTCTTTACCTGAGCACCCCTCAATGAGCCCACACTACTGTGTCTAATCAATTCTGGCCACCGCTTCTGGCGTTGAACCTCTCCGTACTCCCTTCTTTCCCATTACCAATGATGCATTCGTGGGAGAGCACAAAACGAGAGGCACAGATTGAACATAGGAAAGGGAGTGGAGAACAGAGAGTCCTTTACCTTCTGCATTCGGCTCCTCCACCGAGTTCACCCTGCTTCTTCGACCTCTCTGGGAGGTGCAAGATAATTAATAGAGGAGGAATGCAAAGGGGGGGGAAGGAGTAGCGATGGAGAGCAGCTCTTTGTCTGCTTCGAATGAGAGGTTAAGGTGTGGGTTTGGCGTATATATAGGCGACGACAGTGAGAATTAATCTCCTCGTAGGCTTCCACGTGGCTTCTTAGTCATCTTTATTGGTTGGGTTGTTGACTTTGGACGACGCATTATTTACTACCGTTCGGTACGATACGTGTCGTATCTATGGATCCAATAACTTATCGGATGTTTGATATTGGATCCAATAATAAAAATATTTAATTGTTTTATGCTAATATTTTCATTTGAAATAAAAATATATCGAAACTCGTGTATCAAATAAACTACGATAATTTTTATGTAATATATAAAGTCATACACCAATCACATATATGATATCCGTAAGTCGTAGACGGACAGAGAAGTATAACTTATATGATCAAACATAAGGTATTATCTCTCAACAATCCTCAATCAATTTAAAATATAATTAAAATGATATAATTGATCTGAATCGAAATTAGATTAACTAAGATTTAATTAAATCAATCTCTAATTCTTATTTAACCGATCCAAAAATATCATGATCTATTTGAATTTAATTGAGTTAATTTAGATAAAACAGACTTGAATAGATCAAATTGATATGAAAACTTTTTAATATTTAATTTAAATATAAAATTATAAAGAATTAAATTAATTAAAATAAGCAAATTTAATCAACATAGAAATTTAAAAATAAATAAAAATATCAAATTAAATATAACATAAAGTTAATTTAGACATATGAAAACTACAGAAATATTTTTTTTTAGAAAAGATAAAAAATTCTACCTTTCCAAGGCTCTCAATTTAATTTTAAATATAAGATAATAAGGAGATGAACCCTCTTGAAAAAAAGAAGTAAGATAATAATTTAATTTTTTTCCACACAAAAAATAGAATATTTTATTTTTTAAATTAATATTAGGGAAATAAATTAATTAAACATTCTAGATTATTACAAATTATTAAGCCAATTTGAATTGTTTCCTCAATACTATTACATAATTAAAAAAAGAATAAATAATCCAAATAAAGTAAAACACTAATTGCTGTAATTTCGATTAATGAAAATACGAGAAAAAAAAATCTGCAGAGATTACAATTTCAGTGAGTCGCTGTTTATCCTTTTCATGCATTGGTCAAAAGTTGGAGGCATCTTCGCAACGTAATGACACATAAAAGAGTTTCGCACTCCATGGTTCCTTATGGCACTATGAAAGAACGAAAGCAAAAGTAGGAAAAAGGAATCACAAACGAAGGAGTGTCATCTTTTCTATCTTCTTCAATCATCAGATGCATGATTGATTCCATGGAGGTGCTGCAAAGGCGTTAATGGAATCCATTATCACTCCCTCCTTTGGCTCCCAAAGAATTAGGAAGCTTTCAGTGCGTTTAATTGTATGCTCTGTTGACCAAGAAAAGAGCTGCGAGGTTATCTTTTTTTCTCCTTTAATTCTAATTTTCCTCATGCCTCTCGGGTTTCATATTATGTTAGAAATCGATAAATAAATTTGATATCATTATATAGTAAACTAAACCATATATATATATATATATATATATATATATATGCCTAAATTGTCGCTCTCAATCTTATTGTTATTACCATAAATTGTGTCCTTAACGACGAATTTGGTGGAACCAATAACGCGAGTCATTTCGTGCCATTTCAAAGCGAAGCCGCATGCGCGTCGACCTGCGTCACGTACTCCGTGCTGCAATCCGCCCGACGGTGGGGCCCATGAGGGGCCCGCGAGGTGGGCCGCGGCCGTCACGGCAGGTGAGGTAGGCACGCACGCGTAGAATTCCGTATTTGTTGATGGTGTATCTGTTGGGCCCGCAAGAAGTCTACCCACGCGGCAACCTGCTTCGTCGTCGTGACCGCGAGGGCAACGGCGGAGGCGAGACCGGTGAGTCAGGGCCCGACGGACATCGCAAGCGCGGGACCCACAAGTTGCAGGTCTCGGTCTCGTTTCGACGTTGGGGTGGGGTTCGCCTCTGGCTGCCCATCGGGACGGCGAGAGTCGAGAACGGAGGCCGAGGCAGTCAAAGGTGCAAAGAGGAGCACGTCTCGTTTCGACGTCGCCGTCGCCGTCGCCGCGAACTCTTCCTACCCGCGGGTTAGTATGCGATTAGCTGAAGTATATGCTCATCCGATCATGCAGAGCATAAAATAGTGGCATCAGTCAAAAAGGTCCTCCGATTACATGCCTCATCACTGAAAGAAGGAATCACGGACCACTGTTTCCTTCGTTTCTATGGGACAGTAGACATCAATCATTTGGAGCATCAGTCGTAGCGCATCCACCTTCTTTCTCTGGTCCATACCATACCATACGACACAAAGCTTTTCCTGGTCTTCCAAAAGGCAAAGCCATTGACGTTTAGCATCTGTACCTGAAATCATGTGCCATGGGAATCATTATCCTGATCGATTCCTCCTCCGGATGTCAATGCCATGCGTCGGCTTCAGCTCAACGAAGACCAACCGCTGCTCGTGTAGGAGAAGACAAATGTGTAGTTGTCAAACAAGTTGCCGGATGAAGCACATCGGTGTTTCTTCAAGATCAATCTTTGAATGTCGCGGATATCTTTTACCGATTTGATGTGGTATTTCTTAGGGTTTTTTATTCTTGTTCTTCAAAAGAAGCATGCAGCAGCATCTGCACGCAACGCGCGAGAGAGGGGCAGTGAAAGTCCAAAAGGTACAAAAGTTTGGATCCTTGTCGGAAGACTTTGGATTACCGTAAATCTTAGCTTGAATCATGAAGAGGCTGTGATTAGGCTGCCATGGACCTGTGTTTATTGAAGAGTTAGCAGTTGTTGTTGAAGGTTGGTGATGGAAGAAGGAATCATGAACCAGCGTTGCTTTCACATCTGCATTCTCTGCCGAGAAAGCAGGAGTTGGAAAGATCGGTGCAGCTTTTATATACGATAAAGGAATGGTATGTTAGATTAGGTTTTAGCAGTCTTTAAACTCGTCCATGCATGCAGTCTTACACTCGAGTGTAAGTAAGAGCAGATCAAATTCCAATGGTGTGGTGGACCGAAGCGATAAGGTTAAACTAAAAGGGGAAGAATACTACAGGAAGCAGCTGTTGCAGGTTCCCCCTCTCAAGCATGTGGTAAGATGATGCTGTTGATGGTATCCAAGCAAGGAATAATAAGCTTGTGTCTGCATTATTTGCTCATCATCGAAGCACAAACAACATGCCAATAGGAATAGCTTCAGATTTGGATAAGAATGCATAACTCACTATGTTCCCGATTGCCATCCACATAAAATTCTAATCTGATCACTACAGGAGCCGCCAAGTTGTGATGGATGATGACCTAACAAGTGGCAATCAACTTAAGCCAATATCTAAGGGGTTCTTTCAGTGTTTTTTTCTTCCAATAAAAAGAAAACAAAAGAAACTAAAACATGTGTAGTTGAGGTTCAAAGAAGGTTTCGTTCATCCGTATGTGATCTCAACATGAAAACAAGTAAATTTAAATCAGAACATTTGCTTCACCATTGCTTCCTTCCATGGGAGAACAAGGATGGATTTGAGAGATGGAAGACGGGCAAAAAGCAAAGTTTCAAGTGCTGCGTGTCTTACCGAGTGAATTGATAGTAAATAAGATTTCATATGAGGAAATCTCTCTGTTCTATTGAGGAAAATTCTCTATTCTATTATCATGAAGCATCGAAAGAGGTGTGGAGGGGAAACATATTGAACTCTCTTATCGTGTCTCTCGTGTGCGTGCATGCAGTCGCCATTCAAAGCTTCGTCGGCAATCGCCCCTCCACTGATGCTACATTGTTGCAGTCGTCATCCGACGCGTTCTCTGTCTCTCTCTCTCTCTCTACTCTGAGTTATTTCTTTAGATTTTTTTTCGAAAAATACCCTCATTTCCTGAATTTATAAATACTATATTATATATATATATATATATATATATATATATACATATATATATATACATATATATATATATATATA